CCTGTTCATCACTCTATCTTTCCTTATACTTTTACAGTCATCCCATCACTACCATAAGCAAGCCATCCCTCTATAACCTGACATCACCCCCTTCCACACTTCCTGTGCCCTGTGACTGGAGGATGCTGTGCCATTGTCCATTAACCAACTCCTTCCCATGTGAGTTTGTCATTGGAAACTCTCTTCATTTCTTCTCTGACAAACTTTGCATGGCATTCTGTAGATCATGTGACTGCTGGATAAAACTATTGTCATCATGTGTAGTCTAGTTGTAGTCTGTTTAGGTTACCAGTACACGGTTGCTTTTATTTCAGTGTAAAGGAGAATGTCAACTGGCAAATGCTATTGAAGCTCTTGCTGTAATAAAGATATAAAAACAGTCTGGTTTATTAGATTGTGGTATGCTGTATTTGAAAACCTAAGATATTTCATGAACGATTGTCAACTGAAAAGGACAGTGCTAAGGCCAGCGTTGAAAATAACGTCACATTTGGCAGAATGATGACTGAGAAGTGAAGGTGCACTGGGATCAATATCAGTGTAATATCCTGCTGATGACTTTCACAGTATACAGGCACCAATTGCTGTAGGCCATTAAGGGAGCACTCTTCTTTACTGATGCCTGGTTCATCTTAAGGTCTTTTTAGTCCTTGTGCTGACAGCAGAGGACAGCCAAGATTTCTTATTAGTGTTTAATCTGCGGGTTGCTGTGTTATATTTTAGGACCCTACTAGAGGCAGTCTTGAGAAGATTAGTTGTTTAGTTAACTGAACTAGATTTCCAAGTAGCTTAGTTAGCTGCTTTCAAAATCATATAGTTTGAAAATGTTTCCTTCAACCAGTAGTGAGACAAGACGTCACATGGTTTTATCATTAGATCTATACTAAATATTATTCAGTTCTAAGTTTTTTCATGGCAGTTGTTCTTCTGGAAATGCTCTTTTCCAGTTTGGTAAAGCGCTCTCCCACCCATTAACTACGATCTTACACACATCCTCTTCTGTCTTCAGTTTAAAAAATTACATTTTTCTCAGTCTGGGGGGAAAGAAAGTTTTCAGATGTAAATATATGCTGCGGTACATTGTAAAGTTTTTCAGAGGTATCCTAGCCATAGCTACAGTTGTTACACTCTTAAAAAAGATGGTTCTTCCAGGGTTCTTAAACCAAAGGCGTTGATTCTATATAGAGTTCGACATAGAACCCTTTCATGTCTAAATGGTTCTTTGCATGGTGAAATGGTTCTTCAGACAGATGGAAAATATGTTATATGTGGTTCTATATAGCACCAAAAAGGGTTCTGCGATTGTTAAGATGTCAAGTTTTATATATTAGAAGAACCCTTTTTGGTGCTATACAGAACCTAACCTTTACTAAAGATTCCTAAAAGAACATTTGGCCTCATTCACCAATATCTTGTTTTATATGTTTTTTCTTAAATGTGTTCTTGAGAAGGTCCTAAGAAAAAGCCTACTTCAGATTCATGGCATGTTCTTAAAGTGCAGAATTGTTCGCACCTTTGTTCTCTTGAGTGTTCTTAAGAACAAATTCCACATAAGAAAACACTGGTGAATATCAAAATCTTCATGAAAACTGTGAAAGTGGATTTTAAGAAGAAATTTCTTCTTAAGAATGTTTGGAGAATGAGGCCCAATAAGAGTGTAGGCTATGAAGGGCCAGATGAAACGATTTGCTACAGCGCCCCCTGAGGCAGACCAGTGCTGCATGTCTAGTTAATTAAGATTACCAAAGACAGAAGCTCACTCATTGTGGGTGCAGCAGCTAAACAATGAGCTTTCCCTGAACTGGTATTTGAGCGATTGTATTTCCCTAATGAACAGCATAATAAGTTGATTTTCAGGGACCCCCAGAATTTTGATTTTTCAGGTGGTCCAAGAGGTAAATTAGGGGATCCCTTGACACCTCCCCGGGACCCCCAGGTATTTCACACCTTTGTTAATTGTCTAATATTACTCATTTTTGAATTTGTTGTAAGCTTTTCTAGATTTTTTTACTTGCTTTAAGTGATTTTAGTAAGTCAAATTATCTCACTGTATTGGCAGATAATTTTGCTCGTTTTAAGAAACGTACTCAAAACCAGCAAAATGATCTGCCAGTACAGTGAGAAATTTAAACTTGACCAAATTACTTAAAGCAAGTACAAATGCTGAGAAATAAGTGACTTGCCTTGACCAGTAGAGTCTGGTTATCTTTTAGCATGACTGTGCGTCATTTGGCATAGTGATGTCATCACGACTGACAAATACAGATGGGTAATATGTGTAACAGATGGGTGTAAGACTGTGTGTAACAAATGTATTCCCAAAATGGAAAAGTTAGCAGAAGCAAAAGTCCCTGGCACTTTAATATTTCATATCGATATTCACATCTGCATGATAATCTCACAATCCTTTTTGTGTGGCTAGGGTGCTACACCCACTCATTCTGCTCAGATTCCTGCATGGAGATTATACTGATCTCTCTCTCTCTCTCTCTCTCTCTCTCTCTCTCTCTCTCTCTCTCTATTACTCAGCACCCTTTGGCAATTCAGTGTTGTCCCACCATCCGAGGTCTGCAACGTCATAGTGATCTGTCAAAAGATAAATAGCATGAAAAATCCACTCTTCCAGAAAACTAGTACAACTGTGCCATGTGTAAGCATGCTGGTGTATCTCCATGTCTGTGGGAGTTAGGCAGTGGCCCTAAAAGGCCATTTGTTGCCTGGTAACTCAGGCCCATGTAATCTGTCCAGTGTAGTGACCCCTGTGTGCAGGGCAGGGCTGCGCGGAACTGCTGCTTTGCCGATTCACAGCAGTAATCAGCCTAAATATGCAGCGGCAGAGCCAGGATGCTGCACTCAGACACTGCCAAAACACAGGCTCAGGCCATCACAGCACTGCCTAAATCACACCAGCACTCCTACTCAGCACACTTATGTAATGCAGAAATAATTTTTTTCTGTTTGCTATTTATTATTTGGAGAGGCTTCAAAGTGGAGTGTTGAAAATGGATTTTTCTATCTATCACCTGACACAGACACTCATGCACATTCCTTCTGTATGCTGAAGCTACATGGTTTCACAGGTGCACTGTTCAGACCTTTCTTCAGACTGTTCTTTAGACCTTTCAGTTCAGACAGCACAGCCCAAATATAGTGGTCATTTTAACCCCTAAAAACCCCAGGCTTGTTATAGTCATCCCAAGGCTTAATATACACTAATTACACAGTCTACAGTTCAAAGTGTCTGGCTTATTCCTGAAGGGTTTTGTAGCACAATGTGTTATAGATCATTTATAAATGTTTCTAATTTTTACAGTAATCACAGAGATACAAGATGTTTCCTGTTTATTATATAAAAGTGTGCCATAATTAAATGTTGTGTGAAATCAAGTTTATTCACATTTACAGACAGGCATGGGCTCCTGTCCTCCAAGGCTGACACAGAAATTAGGCTGAGTGGTGTTAACCAGACCTGGCTTCCCAGAGGTCTACATTCCTAAGGTTATATATTCCCAGGGCTCTACGTTCCCAGGGTTCTATTTTCCCAGGGCTCTATATTCCTGGAGTTCTATGGTCCCAGGTTTTTACATTGCCATGGTTCTATGTTGAGCTCTTTATGTGATACACTATACTTCAATATGATACATTAAGGAAAGTTTTAAAGTGGTGCTCAAGGTCAAAGTTAATGTCATATGGTCATCAAATGTCTTACCGCGAACAATGAGGAGCACAATTAATTTTATGACTAAAAACATTTAAATGCTGCCCATCACAGAATAGATTTTCATTCTTGTTTACTGAAATGTTCAGAGTGTTTTGATAGGGGAATCTATTTGGAAGCAGCATGTGCATACACATAATTTCAGATCTTTATAATATTAAAAAATATAAGACATCAGTATATAGATGTTTGCAAATATGAGGTTTGGATGCTACTCTTATTTTCATTTTGATGAAATACAAGCGTGGTATTAAAGGTGGTGGCTGGGGTGGCCAATATTTTTCCTGAAATCATTACCATCCCAAAATTTCTGCCATGTCATTTGCTTCCACTTTGCTGTGGGGCAGGTGTTTGTGCCTTTAAAAATTGTTTCGCTATAATTGATCAGCTAGAAAAATTGTCTGTCAGACCTCTTTATGGGGAACATAGGGCTGTTTCCTAGACGTTTCAATGAGAAAAAAGGGCCTCAGGGAACCTAGAAACCTAAGAACATAGAAATGACCCCTGGGGTTCTTAGACATCCAAGAAAACATCTCCCCATTCATATTCCTAACAAATGAAACTTAAAGATGGAATGGTGACAGCGCAAGGGCATTTCTTCGTCAAATGTTTGCCATGATGCAAAATGAAAATGTGTTTCGGAGGAGTAACTTAGACAGCAAGCTAATTGTAGCCACTGTAGTCCATCTGTTATCATATATAATTCACCTGTTCCCCTCTGTCCCTTCACACACAGCTTGTTTTAACCTATTAGCTTAGATTTCTTAGCCAAAATTTTAAGCCTTTGGCATTTTAGCTCCACCTGTTCACTCTGAAGTTACAAGGAATGTTTCAGCACAGATTGTTTTTTGAGTGAGACACAGTACAGGGTAGCCAATCAGAACAGAAATGATTTACGTAAATCAGTCTTAAAGGCACAGTAACAAACAGCCCAATTAATTCTACAGGATAAAGAGAGATTCTTTTCTTGTCTTTTTTGAAATCTGGACTTTTTCCCTGTCCCATACACCCACTCTTCATGTTTGTCATCTATTAAACCTGAGTTTAAAGAGCATGTAACAGTGGACAAAACCATTTATTTATTCATTTAAAGTGTAGAGGGGAGTCATGGGTTGGAAAATTCTAACAGTATTGGAAAATTCCAACTGATAGTTTACCACTGTGAACACAAATATACTTTCATATAAAATATGTACACGTTGTGTTTTTATGTTTGTTTGTGTCTGTCTGACCTAACTTACTGTTTGTCTCTGTGTCTACTTGTAATCCGTAATCACTTCAGGACAGAGATCTGCGGCCAGAGGAAATTGAAGGTACAGAAATACAGCAAATTGCACTACAGTGATGGCAGCTAAGCTCCCTCTTTGGCTTTTGCCTTATTCCTCTATTAATGCCCTCTCCTCATTATCGCTCCCTCCTTCTTGCTAAGTCCAAACTGACTTTCCCCCCAGACTGTGACTCTGTAAAACTCCTGCTGCTGTAAAACTCCCATCCTTCAGCGTCCTCTAGCTGCACTCTGCATAAACATTATATTTATCATTTCATTATCAAACTGATGAGCTAATCTCTCTCTCTCTCTCTCTCTCTCTCTCTCTCTCTCTCTCTCTCTCTCTCTGTCTCTTTTTCTCAGAGCTGAAAGAAGCCTTCAGGGAGTTTGATAAGGACAGGGATGGCTTCATTAGCTGTAAGGACCTGGGCGAGTGCATGAGGACAATGGGCTACATGCCTACAGAGATGGAGCTGATAGAGCTTAGTCAGCAGATATGTGAGTGGACTGAAGTTCCTATTTTGGCAAAATGCTACTCTGCTGAACACTCACCATCCACTTTTTTTAGAAATGCAAAGTTATTTAAAACTGATTTGTTTGTAGATAAATGTATAAATCCATTTAAACATAAACCAGTGAAATTATGAAAATGGCTGAGAAAGCTGTATAATATTAATGATGTTAAAATGAAATGAACATCCAGAATGCCTCGTATTTCAAAAGTGGGGTGTAAATCTGAAGGTAGGTAACTGATTATAAATATATATTTATTATTATCATGCATAAAATAACAAAAAATATAAAAAAGATGAGTGATTACAAACCTCCAAATACTAGTGTGGCTTATATGTTCACTCACTGCCATTATACTTTGCACAATCACAGCCTGCAGCTCATCTGTTGCTGCATAGTTATTCACTTACTCTAGACCTCATTCCTCATTGGTCAGTGTCTGACCACAAGACGGCTGGCAAGTAGATGTTATTTGGGAGGTGGATCATTCTCAGCACAGTAGTGACACATTGTAGTGTGTGTGGTGCTGTGTGTCAGGCACAGTGGTCTTGCTGGAGCTTTAACACCTGAGTGTCACTCCACCCAAATAATATCCGTCCAACAGGGGCTCTGTGGTCAAACACTGACTGTTGATGAAGGGCTAACATAACAACTGTACACTGGCAAAGTGGACCTACAAGGTAAGGGCTTGTGATAAAGTGGTGCTAGATACGTGTAGCTGTACAAAAGCCAACACAAGTAACTGGTCTAATGAATAATAATTTTCAGTTATCACAAACATTAGGGCTTTAGAGTCACCAGGATTTTGAACATAAGATCTAAACCTTCAGACTCACATCCTACACACACAGTCAGAATTCACAGTTTTGCATATGTTCTTCACGTTCACTCTGGCTGTAAATTCATAGGAACGAATGCTTGTGTTGTTGTCTAGGTGGGGGCCGAGTCGACTTTGAGGACTTTGTGGAGCTGATGGGGCCTAAAATGCTTGCAGAGACAGCAGATATGATTGGAGTAAAGGAGCTGAGAGATGCTTTCAGAGAGGTTAGTGAAATAGTCTACCACAGTAAAAGAACTCTGAATATAAAAAAGCACACTGTTAATTATGGCTGGGCTTTCACAATATTTAACACAGTTCTTCACAGTGAAAAACTGTATTCATCATTTGATTGTGAAATCAACTCATCCTAAGATATTTTCTGCAATATCACAGCAAATTGCATTAATAAATGCATATTGGATTTATTTTGAGTATATGTCAATTAATATTATTTTATTTTAGTGCATATTTTTATTTATTTACATAGAAAATATTTATAGTTCTGGTAAAAAAAAAAATCATATGTAAATTGACAGTAGATTACTGGCTCTTGACTTGCATTACTTTTACAATTCTGTAAATATCCAGGAGATGACAGCTGCATCAGAGTAATCTTGGGTTCCAGGTGACTGTGAAGTCAGTATGCAGTTGCTATTTTGCTGTTATTTACTGTTAATATGGTACAGTAAATAACTGTGAAATCTTAGTGTACAGTTGCTATTTTACTGTTGTTTATTGCACCAAACTAAGACTACATAACATAAAATAGCAACTGTATACTGTAACTTCACAGTCACCTCGAACACAAGATTACTGTGATGTAGTTGTATTCTCCTACATTTCTACATAGTTTACAGTGTAATTTTACAGTGAAATGTATCATGGAGCATATTTTAAAGAAATTAATTCATATCAGACTTAACATTTATGTCCTGTTGCCTTAACATCTCAAACCTGTTTTTTTTTTGTTTTTTTTTGCAATATAACTAAATTAAGTCATAATTAACTTCTTGTTTTAATAATTTAACTCCAATCAACCTTCTATTACCTCCCATTCTCTCTCTCTCTCTCTCTCTCTCTCTCTCTCTATCTCTCACAGTTTGACTCTAATGGCGATGGTCAGATCAGTCTAGCTGAATTGAGGGAGGCCATGAAAAAACTGATGGGTGAGCAGCTAAACACCAGGGAGATCGATGAGATCCTCAGAGATGTGGACCTAAATGGAGACGGGCTGGTGGACTTCGAGGGTGAGAGAGAGAGTAAAATTCTAGTAACTGTGAATATTCTGCGGCTCCTAAAAACAAGACTTTTAAATAAATAATGAATAATTTTTGAGTCTGGCTGTAGTCAGGTTAAGGTTTCATATCGGTTTTGTTTAGATTTGGGTAAATGTTTGTGGTTTGTGTTAGACATCAGCTCAGAGAGATGCTTAGGGTTTCATTTAACCCCTTAAACTGTAAGAACCCATCATCAGGCCAAAACTTCAATTCCTCACTCTAATCACTACATAACTCACATGTTAGTTTCATTGCAGTTACTGTGTAATTAATACTAGTTACTAAGTTGCTCATTGATGGCTCAAGAGACTTAATAATGGTTGTCCTAAAATTGCTAAAGAGAAAGAGCATTATGAACACACATAAAATCATAATAATTTTCAATAAAACACAAAAAGTTTATTTGTTTGCTGGTGACAATTCTTAAGGTTTCACACTGATTTTATGACTTTGGGACACATTTGCTTCAAAGCAATGGGATGTAACTACTCAGCATGTGGCCATGAGGGATGACAGGGATGCCGTCTCACTTCCTGCTCTAAAATTCAGGGGTGTGGCTAAAATAGACTAAAACTCTTTGTGTTTCAGTAGTGACAGGAAAATGTGGGGAAAAAAGTTTTTTTTTTTTTTATTTTAAAATGAAATGCATGATAAATCTAAATCCTGCAGCATCACTTTAAAAGAAATCAAAAATCTATTTAAAAAAATATAAAACAAAATGGAAGTATTATTTTCACAAGTTAAAATGTAGGGGTTAGAGTTTGGGACAGCCACTCCCCAATAGAAAGTACCTTATATACAATGATTTTGCACATATTTAGCTTATCACTATCTCAATTAATGCCTTGGGTTAAAATTATCATAACATAATCCTTGTAAATATCTATGTAAGGATATGAATACCTAACTTTTTTACTGTGGGACTGCAGTTTGAACTAATAGGGTAGAATGGCATCAAAAAGGGGTCTGTTATTGTCTGCTATATAAAACCCTTTTTGCTTAGAGAATATGTAATATCCTTTGGTACAGTCACAATGCAGTCAATGACAGTTGCCATGGTGCCAGGGGTTGTATTTTTTTATTTTTTTGTATTTTGTGTGTACATTTTGTTACTAAATGTACTTCAAAATCTGAAGTTGAAGGTAAATGTTTTTGTTCTCTTTTTGGCTGAAGACAGCTTTCTGCTGAGCCAAATCAAACATCTTTGTGGGCCAACTTCAGCACATAGGCCCCACTTTTGATCCCCCCTGATTTAGATCTGTGATGGTATTACATTGCAAGTCAACTGTGTGTGAGACATTTGAAGAGAACAGAAAGAAGAGAAATGCTTATTTGCTATAGAATAGAATGGAAGTCTCTTAAAGGTTTTTGCTGAGTATGTCTTACTCAGAGGGGTCCTGTAGTAAACATTAATGTCTTCTGTCTTTTGTCCTTCCAGAGTTTGTGCGGATGATGTCCCGCTAAACCCCTGCTAGAGATTTACACACAATCTGCCATCATCCTATGAAGAAGGAGATACTGCAGGTCCAGAAGAAAATAAGCTCATGTATTTGTATTATACTATCTCCCTATACAGAGACACTTGTTTTATCTTTTTCAGATAGACTCCAGGTTTTGGAAACACATTTATATTTAAAGGCATCTGTGTATAATATCTCACATAAAGTATAATGCTTAAAAGTTGAATAAATCGTTCTGCATATTATTATTTCTGACCATCTCCATAAAATTCTTCTGGACCCAGAAAAATCCAAGGCCCAATCCCATTTCTTATTTTTGCCCCTACCCCTTGTTTTCAAGTGTCACTTTGCCCCTTGGAACTGAGTTACAAGGGGTAAAGGTTGAAATCCTACTCTGTGAAATGGGACAACCCTCAAATAAAGCGATAGCAGAGGAGGGTAAAGTTCAGCAACCTCGCTGCTGGTCTTTAGTTAAATTTAGGGAATCATATGCCTTTAAAGAGGGGCAGGTGATAATTATTAGTTATCATCCACCCCTAATTCATCGGTGATATGAAGCATATGTCAGCTATTCGCCAGCTTTGAATTTTGCTGTTCCCACCTTAAATAGAGCAGCAGTTACATTCTGGCACCTTACCATTTAAGGTGGAATGGGACATTTAGCTAGCTAGCTACCAAGACATTAGCATACTACTAGAGACTTTATATTCTTGTTATGAAGAAAAGAACAATAATTCCCTGAAACAACATTAAACTAAGATAATACACTGGTTATCATATTTTTTAAAAATACTTACATTTCAGGGTTTCTTTGGTCGCTCGCGCAGCCGTCTTGCTTTTTTTTCTCATAGCACTCGGTTTGGAGTGTCTCTGAAAAACCTATGTTTGGAGGGCCATGTAGCCCTAACACTTTGCCCTACCCCTCCATCTCAACAAAAATCAGGACACCCTACCCCTAGGTATGAATGTGCAAAATGGAGGGGTAAGGGCTAAGTGGTAGGGGCAACAGGTGAAATGGGATTGGGCCTAAATTTCTCATTTCACCTTGTGGTAACACATATATTTATCAAGGTGTCAGTGCATTCATATCAAACATATCTCTGTAAATACTGTTGTAGATGTATTGTACTCTTTTGTACGTTTTGCGCTGTATATTATGAGAAATTGTATGTTATCAGTTTGTTTTACATATATGGTTACATACAGTACTGTGCAAAAGTCTAAGCACCCAAGCAAATCATTGAAACCCATTTATCTGGACAGTAAGTATGTTTTTTGTTTCTCAAAACAACATGTAACGTTGCAAAACAGCAAAACACAAATTCAGTAAAATGTAACAAGAATTTTGTATTATAAAAAAGGATAGCTTTTGAGCTAGCTAGATGAAAAAAGTCTAATTCCTGCTTTTTCCTCAATGACCCCAGCCACAGCATTCAATTATTAAATTGCATCACCACTGATTAGCCAAACCAGGTGTTGGATGAAAGCAAATAACACTGGGATCTCTGGTGGAGAGGCTTGGAAATCATCAAATGAACAGATTGACTTTTTGCATTAATGTTATTTGTATTTCTTCTAATATTAGTATTTTTCTGAGCAAAAACATACTGTCCAGATAAATAGCATTTTACATATAATTTTCTCAGATGACTTTTGCACAGTATTTTATATCTATGTTGTTGGGACAAAACCTTATATCTCTGTTTTTGTTGTTTTTCTTTTTTTGCATTATTTGAAGTTAAATTGGTGTTAAATGTAATGATGAATGGACGAGCAGAATGGGTCCAAGATAACCTTCTCCATTAACTTCCCTTAAAATTTAAGAACATTTCTCATGTAAAGTCACCTTTTGGAGATATAAGATTTTGATCCAGCAGATATAATATTATAGCACTCCAAGAACTGGATAGATAATCTTTGTTTATTACCTACTATGAATACGTTGAATAACAGTGTGAACATACTGAAAGGGTTCATAATCAGGATGAGATATTTGAGTTACTTATACACTCGCTAATATTGGTAAAGATGTTACAGTGCACAGCTTTGTTTTAATATGCAGTACTTACTATGCAATCTTTGTATACTTCACATATTTGAAAATCACTGTCCTTTTTTTAATAGGATACACTGTACATGTAGATCTATTCATTTTCATCTGAAGTGACTGATGCAACATGACTGATTTTATATAAGGGTCTTTCATAGGGCTAATGAGAGTTACGTGGTCAGAAGTGGACAGATTACAGCGGATGTAGCGTACTCTTGCAAGTAGGACATTTAAATAAGATGTAATTCCTTGTATTTGGCTGATCCTGTGTATTCATCCTCGATTAGAATCCGCCTTCTCTTGTTGTGATATCTGTCATATGATTTAATTGACTGGTTTTTTAAATGCAGCTGCTTTTCTGTGTTACAAAATGTCAGCATTTGCTGACATGTTTTGATTTGCCTGTTTGAAAGTTAGCATACAGTATGCAACAGATGGTGTGATTCACAGCTATCAGTTTAAGTTCCACTTCCTTGTTCATTAAGGTCTCTTTCTTCTGTAGAGCTGCAGGTGGACACCTCCAGGCGAGCGTCATGGAGCTTGTTGGAACAGAACTCAGTTCCATTTCCTGCCAGTAAAGAATGATGCGGATAGGTTCAAGAGAAATGCTGAATTCCACCTAATTTAAAGGAAACAATGTAATTTAGAGTGAGTTTGATGTGAGGTGGTGCATTATAGAGTAACTTACAGACTCAGATTTCTTTACAGTGGTGGTGACGTGAACCAGGGGTCAAAATGACTACAACACAAAATATAGTCGTTTTATTTACTATCCAAAACATCCAGTGAATCTACACGTGTCTTTTGAGGTTTTATGTGTAATGTTGATAATGGTTTTCCTCACACTGCCGCTTGTACCTCTTCACCATGAATGGCTTTCAGCCTTATTGAACCAAGCATCTAGTCAATGATCCATTCAGAGAATTTGGCATGGTTTCTTTAGTTTGATTAAATCTGCTGCCGGGGGGAGTTATGGCGTGTACATGATGGCTGGAGTAAAATTTATCAGCATGTAGAGTCTGAGCTTTCTGTTTGCTTTTGTATTTTCTTTTACTGTGTAAAAGAGGCACTTTATTTCTGGATGTTTTTTTCTCAGCGAGCATGGAACCTCATTTAAAGCACAATCTGGATCAGTAAGCATTTGTTATTAGTTTAAGCACTAATAACAATAAAGCATGACTGATGTGTGACATAGTCCAACTCATGTTTTTTCCAGTTTAAAAAGGTACTTTGTGAAATGAGCTAAAAATTCCATGCATTTCTGGTTTTGTTAGATTACATTTTTTAATAATCAAACAAATGCAGCAACAGTACTAAGAAATCATGTTTACAAAGAAAAGAAGATAAAACAGTAGAAATACTCAGATTTTTGTTTCAGCCTTAAAGAGTTAAGAATTACCTTTTATACCAAAGCCTTATTCAAAACTATCATAAAACAACGTCTCAGGCATCAAGCAATGCACTTGTAACTACAACTTGTAATAACTTTGCATCAAGTAGCTTATAAAGACATTAAGTTCTTCTGATCTCTGGTTCCTTTCACCACTGTAAACAATTCTGCCTCTGTAAGTTTCTCTAAAATGGAGTATTTCACATAAAACCACTCTGAATGACTTTGTTTACATCTTAACAAAGTAATTATGCAATAAATGTCCCCTTTAAATACATGTTTAATTTACAAAAACATAAATGAGTGTATCGAGTCTCAGAGACCAGGACAATGCAGTTGCTATACAGTTGCAATACAGTCTAGACTGTGTCCATGTTTGGTAAATGGTGCATGGTGAGCTTGAGTCATTTATTCTTTAGCTTAAACAAAAAAGTGGCTGAGAATAATGAATCATTTCTTTCATTCATGAGATTTTCTCTAAATTACACATAATAGCTCATATGATGACATTCTATCAATGAATGATTTCACTGGAAAATCTGACTCTAACATTGATCATTTTGTCACACACCACCAAAATGGAGGTCATAATGTGGAAACAATAAGACCACAGCAACAAGCCACAAATTACCAGGCTACCTGCAGGGTCCTGTATGACAGTTAACCTGTAACTCAAATGCACAGCACCAGAGGAAAGACTCAGATTACATTGTTAGATTCACTTCATTGGGAGCTTACCTCTATCATACTTGTTTGTTTGATGACTATTGTCACTTGTTGCGTAACATGCGAAATCCCCCTCAAATTGGCAGCTTTCAGAATTTGAGTGTTACAGTGGATCTGTGCCAACATCCCAACCAGATCTACCTTAATAAACTACCGAACATAATCAGCTGAAAATGGCTTTGATCACTGTTTGCATTTACAATCATAGGGCAACCAAGGCCATTAGTGTCAGGGTTTTTTGTTTGTGTGAACCAGTGTACTCTAGCATAAGGACTGATGACTTTACACCAACACTTCAGAGTCCATTTAAATGGAAAATGCACTGCTTTTTCAAAATGTCTTCATTATTCAGCCATTGAGATGCAAACAAAATGATTCAGAGTAGTCTGATGTGAAATGGTTCATTGTAGAGAAAATGACCAACTGACGATTTCTTTACAGTGGTGGTGATGGGAACCAGGGGTCACAATGTCTACAACACGAGTATAAAACCTACGCAGTTAACATGATTTCTGAGTTTTTATATATAATGATGATAATGGCAAATACAAGTAAATATGTGACCATTGCATGAAATAGAGGGATTAAATCCTTCAGACATGTGGTTCCTATCATCACCACTGTGAACAAGTTTGACTGTACATTTTCTAGAACAGAGCATTTCACATCAAACCATTTTGAATAACTTTGTTCACATATTAAACATCGAATTATGCGAAATTTTTAGGAATTGGTGGAATTCCTCTTTAAATAAATGTCTTTTAATTACATAAGCTTTTCAAAAGATTATGCATATTTCCTTACTTGGAAAAATTACAGTGTTTTAATGCAACTATCTATGTACGTTCGTATTTTTACTTTACCATTTCTGTATTTTTTGTCTGCAAGTCATGTCTTTTTTTCCCAGTATATATTTCAAACAATTAAAACTCTCAGAAGATGCAGCATTGTTTCAGCTGTGGAATTTTAATACAAACTATATATGAAAACTGTATAAAATTGCATTATGTCAAAGTTATAGGCTCACACGTGTAACACATTTCAGTCTAGTCTTTCTAATAAAAAATACTTTG